ATGCATACACCTGTTTAGAATCTGAAGTGGCGCTAAGCACTTTTCCACATAGTTTTTATAAATGTGAATGTTGGCTTGGATTTTGTGTTATAAATAAGGCCCCAGAACTGAGACATTAAGGTGGGAATTCTTTAGCATGATGTGACTTCCACGACTTTGTTTTCTCTGTTACTTTGTTTTCTAAAAAATGTTCTTAATGAAAGCCACAAATGCTCGATATGAAGCTTTGAGATTATCGTTTTCATACCCTGAACTGCACACTTGCCTCCAGTGACGAAAATCTGTATTTGACCATTTTCACTCTAGAAATATTTCAGGAAAAACATCAAATACTTGAATGAGGTATCGTCTTTCTATACTTAGTAAGAATCAGGAAATATGTCATCAGGTATGAAATATTTATGTTGCCTTATTAATAAAATGGTTTAATCAAACCAATGTTTAAAAGCACATCATTTTAGTTTTATTTGTATAATATTATAGTATTTATTAATATTTTAAATTAGCATTTATTTTGTATATTTTCAGTTTTCATTTAAATGTCAAATAATTTTTGTATGTGCTTTTGTCATTTTTATTTGCTTTTTCAGTATTTCTATTTCTATTTATTTTAGTTTTAATTTTAGTACTTACATTTATTTAAGCAACATTTCTATGTGTTTTGGTCTAATATTCATATTAAAATGTATAAACTGAAATTATTTCAGCTTTATTTCTATTAACATTTTTTTTAATAGTTTTAATTAATAATAACAACACTGCAGCTCATAGGCAGATTTTCTAAGCAAATACATTTACAGAAACATTTACAGAAACACCTTAAAAAATAAACATTTGAATGCATAGTCTACATTATATCATTATTTACGGTAATAAACAACTGAGTACCGAGATAGTCATATCCCACAAACCATCCCCAAACAAATCCCAAGATATCAGCTACAAATCATTCATTTTGGTCCATTGAAATATTTTTGTCCAATTCAGCAGGAATAAACAGCTCCTAGATATTATGCCCAACCTCCAGCATCTGCATCACACGATTCACTGCATTTTAGTCTTTTTAGTGGTATCTGAACATGTAAGCAATGAAATATAAAGTCTGATAAAGGCATATGTCACTCCCAGCGCACAGTAAACTGAAGTGAGCATGAGAGGGAGGAAGGGAAATGTCTTCTGCCAGACTGTCAGCGGGTAAACAAACTCACAGATCAGCTCAAGAGGAATCAGGCCCAAGAGATACGTCGCTTCCAATGGGTTCAACAAAGCCCCGCCCTTCCTGAAAAATCAAATGAAGAATCACATCACCAATAATTTGCTCAAACATAAAGGCAATATACGTCCAATAATCCCATTTTAAGTACTGACCTGAACAGCGTTTTTAGGGACGCGAGACTGAAGATTGTAAATAGCAACATGAGAAATATTTTGATGGGCAACTCTGGAATTAAGAATTAATATGCTTAAGAATCACACTCAGTGAGGATGCAAAATGCTTGTTGTGAGATGTTATGAGTTTTTCTGAACGGGACGTACCTTGGGTTGTGAAGAGGAGTGGAAATAGGGAATAATGGCCGGTTACACTGAGCATAAGAAAAATCCTGGCATCCTCTCTACTCTCCACAGCGAGCAAACTGAAAAACAAGAAACCGTGTTTAGTAGGTGGCTGGCAGAACATGCTTATGTAAGAATACCATCAGATGAACACCTTAAAGGAAGTATGGCCATCAGTATGGCTTTCTCATGGACATGCCAACCAAACATAAAGGATCCAAGGGCACAAATGACAAGGCAGCGCAAGAATCCTCTCGCTCCATTAGGTCTATGCCATATCTTGAAAAGAGCAGGCTGCAAGGGACAAAGTGACAAAAATGGTATATGCATCAGTTTGGCAAATCTTGAAATCAATTTCTTTTTTTGTATTGATCATTATTCATATTGTCAATGGATGAAATCAAGGCCATCTATTTGAATATTCAGATTAGCAATGCAAATCAAAAAGAACTCACCAATATTGACAGTAACGTACAAACAAGGGTTGCTAAAGGAGAGACTGAAGGAAGCACAGAGTGCTGAAACTCCTGAACCAGACCAGCAGTCATTGAGGCCTTAGGAAGTTTGTTTATATCAAGCAGTTTGAATTTCACACCTAAATAAGTGAATAATGTGTCAACGCTCATAATATGAACATACAATCAAATGATTCTATATAGTTTTTCTATTTAACCTATAGCAACACAACACAATTGTTTGAGTTATTGAACATACCCAGGATGGAAAAAGCTTTATCTGCTATATTGTAAAGTGCCCAGATGTTTGGTGCCCAGTACGCATGACACAGACCACGCTTGAAAGGGAAGAGTCGTGACAGGACTTGTGGCAGCTGACCCTTGATGAATAAAGATGAACAAGATTTATCAATGAACCTTCTGTGTTAAAATTACTCCAGTCTTCAGTGTCACTTGGTACTTCAGAAATCATTCTACTGCTTAATAATTATAATAAAAAATACAAAAGTTTAACATAACAAAATTTAATCAAAATAGAAATCTTTTGTAACTTACGTAACATTATAAATCTTATGCAACATTATAAATCTCTTTGCTTTTACTTTATCAATTTAATGCATCCTTGCGGAGTAAAATTATTAATTTTAATTGACTTTACAGTTGAACAGTAATGTATATATATGTGATTATACGAAGAGGTTTATTCATATATTAATAACAAACCAGTGCTATAAAGGGTCCAAATGACACCGCAAAAGTAGACAATACTATAGTTCCTAGTGTTACAAGTCGCACAACACTGAAACTTCTCCACTGCAAAGATCCATCTGAAAAACAAGAATTTTATATATATTTATAGATCATATATACTGTATATGTGTGTGTGTATACATACACACACACACACACACACACACACACACACATATATATATATATATATATATACATATTCATATATACATATTCATATATACATATTCATATATTCATATATATATATATTTACATACATATACACACATATACATATATATATATACACACACACACATATATACTGTACATATATATATAAAAGGCTGATAATGAAATGTACTTACCTGCATTGCTCTGGGTGAAACAAAAACATCTCAGCAGGTAGATACCGTATGCAGGTGCGATGTACAGATATATGTGCTTCAGGTTTAAAAGTACTGAAAACAGCAAGGCCCCCTCGAAGTGTCTATTCTGTTAACACACAAAATAATAAATATATTCCAACAAATTTTCTAATAAGACAAATAAGAAAAAATATAATGAAATTCAATGTAATTCACATGTATAATACAAATTTATTTCAAATTTCACATTATTAGTTATGTCTTAAAACTCACTAAATAACAGAAATTACAGCTAATACCTGGAAATGTCTTGCTATTGATAAAAGAAGAACTCCAAACAGGAAGCCATTATACTGGAAATGAATATCTGCAGGAATTCAGTCAAGCAAAATTAATTTCAGGTAAGGGAAATGACATGTCTGAGCCACATCAGGGCATGCATGACTTGACTTATTAATGTGCCAGATCTCCAAGGATACGATCAACAATTAGAAGGCCAAAGTTCCACAGCAACAACACTGTCAGGATGAAAGATGGCTTTCCCAGAAGGTCTTTTCCTTTGCCTTCTCGCAAACATTTGCAGCATCTAGAATAGTACAAACGTTTTTCATCCCAGATTCAACATAAGCAAGCCTTTAACATTGTCTTTCTGTAAAATTATCTTTCAAATCTAAAAAGACAAAGGTACAAAAACTACTTTGGATCAAATTGCGTCATGTAGAAGCTACATACTCTTTAACCGCATAAAAGAAGACCACATCAGCCACAATGACTGACAGTCTTTGGAACAGGACTGTGGCTGGACTTGCATAATTCAGATTCTGAACAACCAGCATCTCCTTATCAAAAAAACGGGCAATATGAGACAGTCCATATTCAAACCAAGCAAACAGGGGAGGATAATCCAATGTCCACTCAGATGTAGCCTGAAAAAATTAAATAAATAAAATAAAACCACAAAATGAAAACCTGTGTGTGTGTGTGTTGTGTGTGTGTATTATATGTAGTACAATGGCATGAAAACGGTATAAATCCATAAGACTACCTCATAATACCACTGTGATACTGGCAGACTGTGAGTCAGGGCAAGCCAGTTCCTATGTACTTCAAAGTCCGTAGAGTGGCTGAAATACAATCATTTAAAATGACAATATTAAATTGCTTGGCATTAGGTGATGCAAAACAATTATTTCCTCTTCGTTAAATTAAGTTAGAATGAATGAGTGTCACTGCTCGCTCTTCTGACATACTATGGGTTTTCGGTTTAATGTGATCACATGAGAGAAAAAGTATATTATGTGAGATAAATTCACTTACTAGGCATTTATCAAAAGACATTTGAGAAATGAAACTCCGAGAGCCAGAGAATAAAACCAGCTCTGATCGTTAGTCATGGGCGCAGCCATGACAGTTTTTTAGAGAAAGGAAAACTTTATTTCTAAAAGCCGATTTACAACCTTTGGGAGATGCCATGTTGCTGACATATGTTCCCCTGCAGGGGGCGCTTAGCGGCTCAGTAAGCCGGAAGCCCCTTTGAGCCAAATGTACATATCAGGACGTTGTTTTTGTATAATCGGTGATATTTGTGCACTAAAAAGTATAATCTTTGACATGTCAACATTGTAAAGTTGATCGCTAATATACAATAAGAAATACGCACCAGAAATCCCTATAAATTGATGTTTAAAAATGCTTAAACAGAGATCACAAATGATTGTGATCAGTCAACAAAAGCGTTGTGAAAAGTAACGCCAGAGTAGCGGTCTGGAGTGGATAATAATTTATTCATAAATTATCGCAATGATAAACTTTAATAGAAATGTGTTCATTTAAAATACACAGTGAACAGTTAAAAGTTGAAAATAATTTTTTAGAACCGTCGTACATGACAACATCCGGGCCGCTTGGCCTTGTTTCAAGCTAACTGCTTTTCTAGTTGCCTATTTTATTTCTACCATCAAAAAGAAAAAGAAAAAACTCCACCTTCTTCACAATCTATCGAAACGTCATCTAAAGTATACCAAAACAGGAAACCACATAGTAAACGAACAGACCTGGAGAGTTTTTTAAGACCGTGCTAATCGAGTTGACCCTGAAAGGTGGAATGACACAGAGAGGAAAGGCATACACGAGAATTCGTCTTGGCTGTTGTTGAGCAATTTACAAAAAGTATAGAAGCTAAATGCGCATAACAATTACTTCCCACATAAATAATCCTATATTTATTTAGGTTAGCCATATAACGTTTTATATAACAATGTCATGCTGGGGAATCTTTATTCGGAGACGATACCAGTTCTCCTCGCTGCTAAAACTGCATCAACTCAACATCCAACCAATGTGTCATCAGAGACAGAGAGGTAAGTGTTGTTCGACGACACAGTGCAGTAATTTGCGCATTTCAAGGGTTTACAGAAGTATTTTTCCTTTTAGGATTCCATAAAACGACTGCTGTCAAGACATTTGATGTGAGAAAAGTGGAGTTAACGCCACTGGAGCAGAGGAAACTCACGTTTGACTCCCATGCGCTCGTGAAAGAGCTGGAATCCAGCGGTATGTTTACTTGGTCTCAGACTACTAACTACTACAAACGGAGTGATAAACATTTGCCGAAGTTTTAAATGTGTGTGGCATATACGTTTCTAATCTGTATGGCAAGCCATTTTAATATTTATTGAATGGCTATTTTACTATTTGTTGTATTTTTTTATTTATTTAATTTTTGTTTTATATTTAAGATTTAGAAGTATAAATGTAAGCTTAATATAGATATTTGAGATCGAAATTATATTTACTAAAGGTATTAATTATTATATAATGCTTGTTTAAATTAAGCAGATTTTTTTTCTTCCCCTGCATATGTAATCCAGGCTTTGAGAAGAGGCAGGCAGAAGTGATTGTCACAGCACTGGTGACTCTTACTACAGCCAATATGGACATTGTATACAGAGATATGGTCACTGGAGCCCATCAGGTAAACAGCCAACAAAACTGCTGTCAGCAGAAATGACTATTAATGAAACCCATTGAATCCAATATGGTTTCTTCATCTGGTATAGGAAATAGCTCTACAACAAATCATGGCTCATCTAGACGCTATCAGGAAAGACATGGTTATCCTGGAGAAGAGTGAATTTGCCAATTTACGCTCCGAAAATGCTGTAAGAATAAAGTTTAAACCTGTATTTCATCCTTTGTTTTTGACTCCATAATCTGAACACACAAAATAAAGTAAAAAACCTGTTTGTCCACAAAGTGTTAATACTAATTTAACACATATTGAAATGTGTCATAGACAATATGCCAGTTATTCAGTTCTTTACCTTCCTTATTATTTTACATGCAGAAAATGAAAACAGAGCAAGAGCAAATAAAGAACAGACTACTGGTGAGTAGAAGTAGATAGAAGAATTTTATGTGAATTTCAGTAATCATTCTGCACAGTACCATTGTTTCTGTTTAACAAAGATTTTATTTATCTTTTTATGTTTACATTGAAGGAGGAAAGTCAAAAAATTAGAGCAGATGCAAAGTTAGACATTAATTTGGAGCGAAGTAGAATTACAGACATGGTATGCGTACATTACTTGTTAACATTTTGTGCAAGTTTCCATTATTCCATAATTTTTTTAACATTCAATTAATCCAATATTTTTTTATTCTAGTTTACAGAACAAGAGAAGAAACTTATGGAAGTCAGAACTGAGTTCCAAAAAATGGTAAGGTTTACAAATAGTTGTGATCACAGCATGTTTTAAGAGCAACACAATCATTTGAACAATGATTACAAGAAAGCTTTTCTATTCAATGTAATTACATAATAATGCTTTTATTGTCCTAATTCATGTAAAAAATAGAATATATTATTATAGTCAAGTTCTTTTTTCTTTAATCAGAATGCAGATATAGAAAGTGAAGCCGTGGAAACTTCAAAGAAAATAGACATACAAGTAGCCTCTTTGAAAACCCTTCTGGAATCAGTCAAGCTAGAGACGATTAGATATCTTGCAGGTATGTACCCAAGATGCTTTTCAAACAGATGACATGTATCTCTAAATATATTTGACTTGGCAGTGACTTGTTTGCAAGTCTTTCAGATAAGACACCGAATTTGATAACACACAAAAATCATTGTTAGTGGCTCTTCAGTTTGTTGATGCAATTTCAATTTCGTTTTATGGGCGCTAAGAACATTATATCAAATGATCGTTTTTTTATTATTATTTTGTTTCACAGCATGCATCTTCACCTGCTTGGCAATTGCCTTGGGATTCTATCGCTTCTGGAAATGAATCTCACAAAACAGGAGAGAAATTATGTCTAGAGTTTTTATCTTAAACGTTCTGCCTTTTGTTTTAATCACACTGATGTATATATACATGTATTTTATTATATTTTTACATTTACATTTATTTTTATGTGAGTAACAAATGTGTTCTTTAAGTTTCTTTAGATCAGAGGTGCCCAAACTTTTACCTACGAAGGGCCAAAAATTTAACTTGTTTGATGTCGGTGGGTCGAAAAGTAAATGTTGCATTATGTCCAAATATATTCTATTAAAATAAAAAATTATCTATATTCTCTACATTTAAAGCCAATAATAGTATTTAAAAAGTTGAAACAAAAAGATGAGTTTTTCCTTTTATATATATATATATATATATATGGGCTAAATCAAAGGCCATCATGGGCCGATTTTGGCCCACAGGCCCTAGTTTGGGCATACAAGTCCGACTCTACCCATTAGGCCACGACTGCCCCATCTCCCAACATTGTTCTCTTTCATGCAAGTACATAATTTTAACATTATGTACTTAACATTTCAATAAAAATGTCTTTGTGTTAAAAGATTTTGTGAGCATGTTTGTATGCATGAAGACAAGTATTATCTGTATATAAAGAATTTGGACAATGCCACTTTTTTTTTTCTATTTTATATAGGGGTTATTCAACCTGATCCAGAAGCTGTTTCTGATGTATTGCAGTCATTTCACTTAATATATTGAACCACAGAGCTTAGCATGTGATAAGTATTATATTTTCAACTTATTAGGATAAACATTTTGTCCACGTGTTAAACTATACACTTACAAGGTAGCACAAACTAATAATTGCTTGAATTATTGTTGTAATCATCAGGTTTTAGCCATGACGTTATGACAACAGAAGTATGACTTGTTTTTTTGTTAATACATGCATATGAATTAACCATGTCCATCTTCAGGTTCCATGACCACCAGACTAATCATATCACACTGGTTCTGGATTTTACAGTTCCATCATATCACTGTAGCATATCTTTGAAGAAAAGTCATGTGGAAGTATGAACAGCTGTTTATCATGTTGGTTGACTAAGGTTTTGTTTTCTTTTTCTAAAAAAGGAAATTAAGACATTTAGACACGTTTTAGACTATGGAAATTATGCTTAATTTTAACATAATTAAGTTTGACATGTTTTATAAATACTACAAATTAGTACAAATTTAGTACAAAAAATACAGATGAACTAAAAATATGGTTGTAACTAATTTTATGGTACACCTGTGAGACACATTTAACCCTTGTGCGGTCTTCGGTCACTTTTGACCGAAGAATTTTACATTTTGAATATTTAGAAATCGTAGCTTTATCGGAATGGTACGAAACTTGGTGACTTTTATGGCACTTGGTATGTGAACACACACAAAAATATTGAGGGCATGATTCGAAAAAGCTAAGTGCTCGTAAAAAAAAAATAGTCACACTCATGGTCTTCGGTCAAAAATGACCGACCATAGGAAATGAATGGGAATGGCAAAAAAAATTGAGAATACAGAAAACTGGCTGTGTCTATAGTATTAAAGACTGCACAACATTGTTATATTATCTTAAAATTATTTTTAAATTATTATTATTTTAAATTATTGTCCCTGGATTAGTAGTCTTGTAATAAAGTAGCGGTGGTAGCGGACAGATTTAAAGTATCAATTCTGCTTAAAAAGATGCAATCTAATCCTGTTTACATGAAATAAGCCTGCTCCCGATCAGGTTTAAGCTTACGGACCTGTTGTTATGACAGCAACTCCGGGATGAGCTTCGAAGAACCAAACAATCCAAGATCATGCCAAATCGTCAACAATCAAATCCAGCTAACTGTAGCGTCTGGACCAATCAAACACACAATTTTTCATTTGATTTAACAAATCAGTT